AAAATTTGTACATCTTAACTTCTCCAACATTTTGAATTTTTGATTTTACAACTTGCCTTTTTTATATCATCTCTTAACAAATTGTGCTTGTAATTATTTTTGATAGTTTTGTGTTTTCTTTTTACTAAAGATATAAGTGATTTAAGAACCATGATTATCGTATTAGTATAACAACAATGTTCTTTTCTTTTGGTTTGAAGAACTCTGATTAGCCTTTTTTATAGGACAGGTCTAGTAGCGATACATTTCCTCAGCTTTTTTTTTTTTGCCTGGGAAAGTCTTTATCTTGTTTCTGAAGGATAGTTTTGCTGGGTACACTATTCTTCGTTAAGTTTTTAATTTTCTTTCAGCACTCTGAAGCATTTCACTCCCTCCAACCCTAAGGTTCCCACTGAAAATTCTGCTGCCAGGTATATTGGATCTTCCTTATACGTTATTTGTTTCTTTTCCTTTTCTGCTTTCAGGATCCTTTATCTTTGATCTGTGTGAGTTTAATTATAAATCTTGGGTTGTTTTTTATTTTGGAGAGGGGAGGTTGAGCCTGGTTGGTGACCTTTAACCTTGATGTATGTGAATATTCATATCTTTTCAAGCCTTGGAAAGTTTTTTGTTTTTCTTTGAATAAGCTTTCTACCCCTTTGTCTTTCTCAGTTTTTTCTTTAACTTCAATAACCTGAATATTTGTTCTTTTGATGATGTCTCATAGCTCTCATAAACTGTTCATTTCTTTTCATTCTTTTTGCTTTTTTCTCTGTGTGTTTGCAAATAGTTGGGCTTCAAGCTCACTGATTCTTTCTTCCTTTTGATCAGTCCTGCTGTTGATATTCTCTATTCCATTTTTTGTTTTGCTCATTGTATTTTCTAGCTCCAGAATTTTTGTTTGGTTTTGTTTATGATTTCAGTATCTCTGTTAAATTTCCCTGATACATTTCTGAATTGATTCTCTCTGTTTTCTTGAAGTCCATTGAGCTTTCTTAAAACAAGTATTTTGAATTCCTTGTCTGAAAGATCACATATCTCTATCACTTAAAGGTTGGCCTCTGGTGCCTCATGTCCATTTGTTGAGATCTTATTACCCAGAATCTTCTTGATGCTTGTGAAATTGCAGGCTGTCTGTGTGTTGAGTGATTATGTATTTAGTTTAGTCTTCACAGTCTTCCTTTGTTTGTGCCTCTCCTTCTTTAGAGACCTTCCAAGGATTCTAAGCCAACTGAGTGTTGTGTTTCCTGAGCCTGTGACCACTTCAGCTATCTAAACACTAGGAGACTGTATTAGGGTTCTCCAGAGGGACAGAACTAATAGGATTATGTGTATATGAAAAGGGGTTTTTTAAGGAGAATTGACTCGTATGATCACAAGGTGATATGAGTCAAAAAATTTGCCATCTATAAGCTGAGGAGCAATGAAGCCAGGAGTGGCTCAGTTCAAGTCCCAAAGCCTCTAAGTTAGGGAAGCTGACAGTATATCCTTCAGTCTGTGGCTGAAGGCCTGAGAGCCAATGGCAAACTGCTGGTGTAGGTCCAAGACTCCAAAGGGCGAAGAATCTGGAGTTTGATACTCAAGGGCAGGAAGCATCCCACACAGAAGAAAGATGAAAGCCAGAAGACTCAGCAAGCTGGCTTATTTCATCTTCCGCCTGCTTTTTCTAGCCACACTGGCAGCAGATTGGATAGTACCCACCCACATTGAGGGTGGGGCTTTGTCTCAGTCCACTGACCCAAGTGCTAATCTCCTCCAGCAACATCCTCACAGACACAACCAGAAATAATATGTTGCATCCTTCAGTTCAGTCAAGTTGACACTTAATATTTACCATCACAGAGACTCTCTGAGTGCAGGCTTGCCACAAATCTCACAGGGTCTCTTTAGTTGATAGGGCTTTCTGGCCCAGATGGACCTGGAGTAGACCCAAGGCAGATACTTGGGCTGCATGGAAATGCTGGCCAGGGATCTGAGTCCGGAAGACTATCCCAGTCGCCCAGATGAGTGTGCCTTTCAGCATATTTCTGCATAGGCAGGATGGCCTGCTAACTGCAGTAAGAAGGCCTAGAGTTGAGCCTGGGCTGCTTTGGGATCTGCTGTGTGAAGGAGGCTGGCCCCGACTTATTTGCTCAGATCAGCATGTATCACTCAGCTGGTCACTGCAAAAGTGCTTGACTGTAACAGTGGGGGCTGGTACTGAGACAGGGCTCCCTTGGAATCTGCAGTGGGATGGAGGTTGGTGTTCTTGTCACATTGGGTCAGATGAGCATGTGTCTCCCGGCAGGTCCCTACATAGATGGGATAGCTCCCAGACTGCAGCAGGAGGGGCTGGAGCTAAGACTGAGCCCCCTTGGACTCTACTGTAGGGACAGATTTAGGAAGCTTGTCTTGTTGGCTCACAGTGGCATGCATCTCCCAGCAGGTCTCAGCACAGATAGGATAGTTCCTCTACTGCACTGGGTGGGGCTGAGACTGGGTCTTCTCAGGGTATGTTGTGGGATAGAGGCTGGTGAGCCTGTCAGGGAGGATCAGAGTCCTGGGCCATGAGATTTGTGTGAATCTCCCCCTGGGTTCTTGTGTAAGCAACTATGAGCCAGGATCTCAGCTAGGGAGGCCTGGAGCGGTGCCACAGTTCAACGTCCAGATTCACTACTGAGATGAGTATCAGCAGGCTGATGAGCTTTTCTGCCAAGTCATTAGTATGCATGATTTCTCTGAACTCTTTGGCAGATGATTTTGGTTGCAGGCTCAAAGTCAAATGGGGCTATAGTCAAGCCCCTTGAGGGACAGGGGTACTTCTGGGCTTGAATGCAAAAGCAAGCTTAGCAGAGCAGATCAGCCACTTAGGTGTTAGTGTACCCTTTCTAAGTGACCCTCCTATGTCTTAGGGTTTCACAGTTATAGATGGATGGATAATTCTTTTTATTGGGGGCATATATGAGCAGGTTACCTTCTGTTTCACCAAGACGTCACTCTGTGAACTATATACTTAAGAGAAATTGCTACACTGAATATGTTGAGCATCCTTTTTTTTATGGATTAAGTCATTATCGTGAACATTAAAAATAGTAATGTTACTTTGGGAGGCCAAGGCGGGCGGATCATGAGGTCAGGAGATCGAGACCGTCCTGGCTAATATGGTGAAACCCTGTCTCTACTAAAAGTATAAAAAATTAGCCGGGTGTGGTGGCGGGCAACTGTAGTCCCAGCTACTCGGGAGGCTGAGGCAGGAGAATGGCCTGAACCCGGGAGGCAGAGCTTACAGTGAGCCAAGATCACGCCGCTGCACTCCAGTCTGGGCGACAGTGCAAGACTCTGTCTCAAAAAAAAATTGGTAGTGTTAAGTCAAATTTGAATTATTCTGTACCCCACTCTCTCTCATCTTCACGTTTTGCTATCCACAATAAATTAATTTAAATTTTTGATTGTTTTTGTGGCTATCTTCTCATTTCCATTGTACTCATTTGTCTTAAACTTGTTCCTCATTATTTTTCCCCTTTACTATTCTAAACATTTTATAACTGGTCTCTCAACTTCTGGACTCTTAATGTTCCTCCTAACCATCTTTTATACTGTGGCCAGAATCATCTTTCATTAATATCCCTGTTATCACTTAACTTTCATAAAACCCTTCCTATGGCTTACAGGATAAAATCTGAACCCCTGCCTCCCACTTTAAGTAGCTTTATTGATTGCCACAATCTCCCTGCACCCTATGCTTCATGTGTAGTAAATTCTTATATCAGTTCTGTTCAAGTGTATTTGTTGTATGTAATTTAAAAGTCAATGAACTGTGCATAAAGACCTTAAGAGCTCTTCTACAACAAAGTTCATGTAGTAACATGTATTTTGGCACATCAGAGATCTTTTTGATTTCTTCCTGGGTCTTGATGTATTTCATATTTTTGAGGGTGTGAATAAATCACCTGAGGACTCACCTGAAATGTTACTTTCAATTCCTTGACTCTAAGGAGTTTCTTCTGTATGTTTTGATGGTACCTGTGCATTGCTCTATCATAGTACTTGTCATACTGTCTGCTAATTTTCCTTGTAATATCGTGTTTTATATGAAGCCAAATACTGCCCATACCAGTTTGGGATTAGTTAACATTCTGCTAGGGTTTGCCTACGTGTTTCAGTCAGTCAGATTTTTAAAAATTAATATAAATTGTTTAGGAAATACTTAAGTCAGTATCTGGTTATATCCTAGGAATTGGCTGGACCCGTGAACTGCATGGAATAGAATATGAATCTTGTTCAAAGTAAGGGTGTGTGTATATGTGTGTGTGCATGCATGCCCGTGCACACACAGTGAGAGGGAGAGAGACACACACACATGTCTGTTGTTCTTTGGGATGTATGAGGAACTGTGTCAGAATAGCCAGATGCTGGGAGAAACATCCCCACAGCTGAGGTCATCTATCATTATGGGACAATTTAATTCATAACTTCTTGGGGTGACAGTGTATCCTAAGAAAGTAGTTTTGTATGTGGTAAAAAAAAAAAAAAAAGTCTACTGTGTTTCTTACAGTATTTGACATTCTGGGTATTTGAGAAATAAGAAAAATATTAAAGTTCAGAAATATTAATGTCAAAAAATGCACATCTCCAGATCTGATAAGTAGACTTGCTTAGAACTAGCCAGTGGTTAGGCCTGGGAATATGTGGATGTTACCTATTTGTTTGTCTTCCAAATGGCTGTTCCATCTTCTGTGCCTAGCACCACATCTGATATAGTGTAAAAATGTGGATAGATTTATAGACAGATGATGAATAAGTTGTTAAAATATTATGATTAGTCACAGCCTTTCCTTTGTATTGATGTGTGGTTTTTGAAACATAGAATGGCTTTCATTTTTAAGGCATAAATAACACACAGAGAATATAAGCATACTAAAGAGATTAATAAGCAGATTTTGTTTCTTTTCTCTTTTGTGTATATTTTTTCTACTTCATTGGAAGAAATATACATGATTGCATTTATAAAGACACTGAACAGTTGTTTTCTTTTCATGCAGGGACCTGAATTAATGAATAAATATGTTGGTGAATCTGAAAGAGCAGTTAGAGAGGTAAGAAATTGTGCCTTTAGTGGCACTCAGCACAGGAGAATCACACTTCTGTCCTGTGCAGTTTCCCTTTTGTTTTAGGTAACAGACTTTGGCATTTCCAAAGCCAGATCTTAGTGGTATCTTTTTTTCTTCAGGTGAATATTATTTGATGATTTAAAAGTGCAGTTTTGATCATCTGCAATACTTCAGTTTTGTTTTTAAACATCGTATTACCAGCCCTTATTTTTACCAAATAAAGATTTTTTTAAACTATCATTTTTTTCTGATAATAAGAGCCAGCATTTCTGTTAAAATAGTTAATGCTGTTACTAATAGTTAATAATACCTATCATTTATTGAGCTCTTACTGTTTCAGGCATTGTGCCAAATGCTTTGTGTTCTTTTTTAAATTCAATTATTAAAATAACTTTCTGAGGTAGGTGTTTGTTATCATCTCCATTTTATAGATGTAGAAATCGAGGCTTACAGAAGTGAAGCTAACTGCTGAAAGTCACATAGTTACTAGTAGTGGAGCTGGGATTTTAACTGAAATTTTCTGATTGCTTAGCTGAATTGCTTCCTTCACATCTATATGAATATGTATTGGTAGTCTTGTCTCTTTAAGCACTATTGAAGGGGATACTTTTACATCCATTATAAAGTTCTGAGCATCTATTATAAGGTCTATACAAAGTGACTAGGCTTGTTGACTGGTACCTAATAAATATGGTTCTAAATATAGTTTTAAAACACAAACCAACTACAGAATTTTCTAGTGTTTGCTTATCTTTAGTTAATGTGGCACTCTTTCCCCTAGACCTTCCGAAAAGCAAGAGCAGTGGCGCCTTCCATTATTTTCTTTGATGAATTGGATGCCTTAGCAGTTGAAAGGGGCAGGTAAGTATTTAATAGCACTGCTGTTATATAATAATATGATATTACATAATAATAGCAATTATGGTATAAATAACATTTTGTATACAACTTTTATCTATTAATACATTTGGCCTAAAACAGTTTTCAGTTTATGTAATTTTTTCCTCTTATACCCATTAAATTATTTCATGTAATCACTGTATAATACTTTTATCCATATTGGATAAAAGCCACTGATACCTGTTTGGGCATTTGAGTTAATTTTTATAGTTTATATCAACAGATTCTTCTGAGTATTGTCTATCAAAATTAGGGTTATTGTAAACATACAATTAAAACTGTAAATAAAACTGGATTAATCATAATTCTTGTAGTAGAACAGAATTATAATAAAATATGTTATACAGATTTTAAAATTCTCTGGAATAAATGTTTCCTAAAATAAAATTAAATAGAATATAAATTAGTATTAATAGTTTTGCTCCAGAATCTCAGGCAGTAAAGAGGATTATCTATGATGTCATTTCAAACAAATATATATACACGCGTGCACACACACACATACATATATCAGAACTATTCATATGTTTTTTTCCTCTACAAATGTATAGTGGTCCTTTAATATGTACTAAAAGTGGTTCATATTGGGTAACATAAATTCATGTACTTCGTGCACAGTTTCTTGATGTGTATATTGATCATAAAATTTTTTGCTGATGGTAATTACAGTGAAGGGTGAAGACAACTTACAAGTGTCATTAGTGTGATATGAAACATTGCTGTTATCATCCTTCTTAGTTAGAGCTGCCTCATATGATGAGAGTATAAGTTGTCATTAGGAACCTATCATTAGGAGGTGGACTGCTATATTAGTCCATTTTCATGCTGCTGATAAAGACATACTCGAGACTGGGTAATTTATAAAGAAAAAGAGGTTTAATGGACTCACAGTTCCACGTGGCTAGGAGACCTCATAATCATGGTGGAAGACGAAAGACATCTCTTAGATGGTGACAGGCAAGAGAGAATGAGAGCCAAGTGAAAGGGGAAACCCCTTATAAAACCATCAGGTCAGGCTTCACGGTGGCTTACACCTGTAATCCCAGCACTTTGGGAGGCCGAGGTGGGTGAATCATTTTGAGGTCAGGAGTTTGAGACTAGCCTGGCCAATATGGTGAAACCCTATCTCTACTAAAAATACAGAAATTAGCCGGGCGTGGTGGTGGGTGCCTGTAATTCCAGCTACTTGGCAGGCTGAGGCAGGAGAATCACTTGAGCCCGGGAGGTGGAGGTTGCGATGAGCTGAGACTGCGCCACTGCACTCCAGCCTGGGCAACAAGAGCGAAACTCCATCTCAAAAAACAAAAGAAAACAAAAAATCAGATCTTGTGAGACTGATTCACTACCACGAAAACAGTATGGGGGAACCGCCCCCATGATTCAGTTATCGCCCACTGGGTCCCTCCCGCAACATGCGGGAATTATGGGAGCTACAATTCAAGATGAGATTTGGGTGGAGACACAGCCAAACCATATCATTCTGCCCCTGGACCCTCCAAATCTCATGTCTTCACATTTCAAAATCAATCATGCGTTCTCAACAGTCCCCCAAAGTCTTATTTTAGCATTAACTCAAAAGTCCACAGACCAAAGTCTCATCTGAGACAAGTCAAGTCCCTACCACCTATGAGCCTATAAAATCAAAAGCAAATTAGTTACTTCCTAGACATTACAGGGGTACAGGCATTGGATAAATACACCCATTCCAAGTGGGAGAAATTGGCCAAAACGAAGGGACTAAAGGCCCCATGCAAGTCCAAAATCCAGCAAGGCAGTCAAATCTTAATGCTTCAAAATGATCTCCTTTGATCCATGCCTCACATCCATGTCACACTGATGCAAGAGAGGGGTTCCCATGGTCTTGGGCAGTTCTGCCTCTGTGGCTTAGCAGGGTACAGCCTCCCTCCGGTTGCTTTCACGGGCTAGTGTTGAGTATCTGCAGAAACACAGTGCCACAGGCACGTGGTGCAAGCTGTCAGTGGACCTACCATTCTAGGGTGTGGAGGATGGTGACCCTCTTCTCATAGCTCCACTAGGTGGTGCCCCAGTGGGGACTCTGTGTGGGAGCTCAGACCGCACATTTCCCTTCTGCACTACCCTAGCAGAGGTTCTTATGAGGGCCCTGCCCGTGCAGCACACCTCTGCCTGAACATCCAGGCATTTCCAACGTCGTCTGAAATCTAGGCGGAGATTCCCAAACCTCAGTTCTTGACTTCGGCCCTCCCGCAGGCCCAACTCCACGTGGAAGCTGCCAAGGCTGGGGCTTGCACCCTCTGAAGCCACGGCCCGAGCTTTACCTTGGCCCCTTTTACACCTTGCGCAGCTGGGATGCAGGGGACCAAGTCCTGAGGCTGCACTCAGCAGCGGCAGGGGGACCCTGGACCTGGACCTGGACCAGGAAACCATTTTTCCCTCCTAGGTTTGCAGGCCTGTGACGGGAGGGGCTTCTGGGAAGGTCTCTGGCTTTCCCTGGATACATTTTCCCCATGTCTTGGCATTAGCATTTGGTTCCTTGTTACTTAGGCAAATGTCTGCAGCTGGCTTGAATTTTTCCCCAGAAAATGGGTTTTTCTTTTCTACTGTATCTTCAGGCTGCAAAATTCCAAACTTTTATGCTCTGTCACATGTCATTTCTCCCACCAGATAACCCCAAATCATCTCTCTTGTGTTCAAAGTTCCACAGATCTCCAGGGCAGGGACAAAATGCCGCCAGTCTCTTTGTATAGCAAGAGTAACCTTTACTCCAGTTTCCAACAGATTCCTCATTTTCATCTGAGACCACCTCAGCCTGGATTTTATTGTTCCATATTGCTGTCAGCATTTTGGTTAAAGCCATTTAACATGTCTCTAGGAAGTTCCAAATTTTCCCACATCTTCCTGTCTTCTGAGCCTTCCAAGTCTCTAGGGAGTTCCAAACTTTCCCACATTTTCCTGTTTTCTTATGAGCCCTCCAAACTGTACCAGCCTTCACCTGTTACTCAATTCTAAAGTTGCTTCCACATTTTTGGGTATCTTTACAGCAGCACCCCACTCTACTGTTAACAATTTACTAGATTAGTCCATTTTTATACTGCTATGAAGAAATACCCAAGACTGGATAATTTATAAAGAAAAAGAGGTTTAATGAACTCGTAGTTCCACATTGCTGGGGAGGCCTCACAATCATTGAGGAAGGTGAAGGAAGAACAAAGGCATGTCTTATGTGGTGGCAGGCAAGAGAGCTTGTGCAGGGCAACTCCCCTTTACAAAACCATTAGATCTTGTGAGGCTTATTCACTACCACAAGAACAGTGTGGGGGAAACCACCTGCATGATTCGATTACCCCACCTGGCCCTGCCCTTGACACATAAGGATTATTACAATTCAAGGTGAGATTTGGGTGGAGACACAGTCAAACCATACCAACTGCCCTGTGTTCCACCCCCCTCATGTTTGGTATTCCATAAATACTTACCAGTCTTTTTGCTTAATGAAGCGAAGCACTCAAGCCCTCTTATTACTTACGTTTTAAGATGGCACAGAGTGTTACAAAAACTCAAGTTTACCTAACTACAAGAGAAGAAAAGCCAGATAAATTTGCTGAAGTATTGTGACCTTCCGCATTTATGTGACATCAGAGACGTCTGGTTTTGGATCCCAAAAAGGAACAGGTGGGATACCCTGTTAAATATGAACCAGATGGGAGGTCGAATATGTAGCAAAGTTCTCATAAAATGCCACTGAAATAAAGTGATGTGAGAAACCAGACAAGGCACATTGTAAAAATACCTTGCTTTTATAGGAGTTTAGCTCAGTAGGAATTACCAGATACATTAGAGATACTAATGATTTGTAACTTCTGGATATCATTTCCTCTGGTAGTCTTCATCAGATTGAACTTTTCAGAGAACACATGTGTTTAATGTATACCTCCCTCTCTCAATGGCTCGTCATGTGTTATGTTACTTAATGATGGGGAGCAGTTTACATACTGAGAAATTCGGTTATTAGTTAATTTCATTGTTGTGCAAACATCATAGAGTATACTTACTTATAAACCTAGATGGTGTAGCCTTCTACACTGTATACCATATGGCCTATTGCTAGATAGTATAACAATCATCTGCAGTACTTTGATTTTGTTTTCAAACGTCTGATTACCAGCCTTTATTTTTATGAAATAAAGGTTTTTTTAAAACCATTATTATCAGAAAAAAATGATAATAATGGCCAGTATTTCTTTTAAAACAGTCAATGTTGTTAGTAGTAGTTAATCATACCTATCAATTATTGAGCTCTTACTATGTAAGATATATATATAGCAGTAAGCCATATGGTATAGCAATAGGCTATATTACCTATACCAGGTAGCCTGTTCCTAGGCTACTAACTTATACAGCATGTTATTGTACTGAATACCATTGTAGACAGTGGTAACAAAATGGTTAGATTATAAACATACAAAAGTTAGAGTAAAAATATAGTACTATGATCTTATGGTACCACCTTCACATATGTGATTGCCATTGACCCAAACTTCATTATGTGGCACATGACTGTAGAAATAAGTTCTATGCAATTTCTTTTCTACAGAAACATTTCTGGTCATAATTTATCAAGTTAGTTGACATTTCAGAAAGCAAAGATGAAGTTCCATTCGAGGAAATACAGTGCTGATGGGTCTCAGTTAAAGAGTTTTGGTTGTACTCTATTTGCACTGAATCTTATGTAGTTTGTTTTTTGTAACCATAAAACTCTCATAAAGTGACATTCTGTTTTCAGGTCTTCGTCTTTTTTTCCTAATTATATGATGGATCAGTATTGCCTATAAGTGATTGTTTTATCTAATTAGCTTGCTGTTACTCGAAATCTCAAACAAAGCTATTTGGTTCATTTTTTTGTTCTTTGGCTGTTTGAATTAAACACAATGGAAACTGAGAAACAACTACTGATAGATATACCAGAAGTATAAAATTCCCAA